GATCTCTCAGGCACTGATTGTTTCAGAGCAGAAGGGACCCTACTGTATTGTGGCCCTGCAGAAGGAGGCCCCAGGGCAGGGAGGAGCAGGCAGGGGTTGGCGAGCAGATCTGAGAGATCCCAGGCGGTGGCAGAGGGGAAGCACCACATACAGGCTTTCTTGGGAAGCTGGGCCTCACCTCTGCCCGATGGTACAGGGCGAACCCTTCATCTTCATCTCCGCTCTGACCCTGCGCCTCACTGGCTTCTGTGAAACCTCACTGGGTGTTAATCTAGACAGCGGAGGCCCTCGGGGTCTCATCGGTGGAAGGGATCCTTCGATGTCGCTTGGCCAAGCTGCTTTTGACTACAGGTGGACGAATGGGGTGGGGCCTGCGAGGGCAGACGGTAAAGTCGAGAAAGGATATAGGCCAAGTTCCCTACTCTGAGCCTGTGGGGGGATGTCCCGTGAGCAGCCATACTCAGGTGTTTGTGGGCTGGGCTTGACGCTGGTGGGTTGTACAGGCTACTCAACTGGGCCTCTCTGGGTGTTCTCCGTTCACCTGGCCATGCTCACTCTGATGTGACTCGCAACCAGGTTTGTGAGCCCTACTGACTCCAGACATATGTGGGTAGAAAACACGCATGGCTAACCCTGCTCTGTAGCTAAGGAGGCTTAGGGAGACTGCCCCCACCCCGTCAGGTCAGCGCCTGATGCTGTGTCTAGAACCACTGGCCTGAGTCTGTGTCTACACCTTAGCTTTATGCCTGAAACCCCTTACAAAGTTGTCATAGCTTTGTCCTATGCACAAGCAGATGGCGGCTACAGGGCTGAGTGCAGAGTCAGGGGTCTCTTACCCCTGCAGTCTCTTGCCCTTCAGCATGGAGGCTTGCTTTCTGCAGTCTCGTGTCAGAAGTGTATAAACCCTGTCCTTAAGACAGAAGGATTCATTTTGATTTCTTGCTGGGAATTCTGGTTGGAAACATGGCCCCACTGAGTACAAACAGGGCTGTGTCACTGTGTAACTCTTTGAAATACTCCCCCAGGAACAGAAGCCCAGGAGTAGCTTAGGGCCTATGCTGTTTTATTACTCCACGCTCAACACTGGGAGAGCCACAGCGTAGACTGAAGCCAGGTGTGAATGTTCTGGGCAACAACTGGTCTTGGAGAACAGAATGGTGAGTATTGGGATGTATGTCAGGTGGGCTCCTGGAAGCAAGAAGAGGCTCGTGGGAGGGGCCGTGAAGGATACCTGGAAGACAGGGTGTTCTGTAGACGTGAGGCCGCAGACTGACTGGGGGGTGGAGGGTGTCCTTCCCTGACTGAGATCATGGGGGACCTTGCTGGGCTCCTCCTGGGGACGGCTGTCCTAGTCTGGCTGTGGGCCTCCTTTGCCACCCCTCGGCTTCCTTCCAAGAAGTCTGTTCTGTAAGAAGTTGGCCCCGGCTCTCCTGTCTTCACTCAGAGATTGTCATTGCTGAAGCAGGGCCTCGTAGACCTGCAGCAGAGACAGGACGGAGGGCCGGCTGGGAGGCTGTGCAGCTGACAGACAGGGAGATCCGCCTTCCCCTGAGAGAGGCCGCTTCGCAGGAGACCAGGGATACGTGCCCGGGGAAAAGAGACTTCAACTCAGCTGCCACTCGTGGTGACGGCGAGGCGGCTGCTGGAGCCTTCCCTTGTTCCTGGTATGAACATGCTCTTATGGCAGAAACGTGACAAGTCCTTTTCTCTCCCAGGAACATCTCATGCAGATCCAATCAAGGCAGAGACTTCTAGACATGGAAACCGCTTTGGGAAGAAACAGAGGGCTGCTTCATTCTTTAATGCCCGCCCCTCCCCAACCTGCAGCCTGCAGCCCCTGCCTCCCAGCCCCTTCTGACTGTGGCTCCTTTCTTGGGTTCATTGTAGAGATTTCCAACTCTGACTGGGGCAAGAGAGAGAGAGCCATGAGTGCTTCAGGGCTCTGCCCTCTGCCATTCTCAGAAAGAAGGGAAAAATGTCACCAGGAGACGGCCGGGATGGGGGAGGGTGTCCTGCAATGTGGACAGGGCTGCCTGAACCATGGCGCTGTTGTGAATATGAATGTTTCACTTATCTTCTTCCAGGAAACGGAAGTGGAGGTGAGGAATGCTTTGAGTTTGAAGTCAAGAGAACGAGGCAGTCTGCTACCCTGAGTGACGTGGGCGTGGCCTCCGCTCCTCCAGGCTCTCGGGGTTGTTGTCCAAAAGAAACACAATGCATTCTGGAGCCACCATCCGTGAGCTGCAGTTGCTTAGTCTCTGTCTGTCATGGGTCCCTGTGACGCTCTAGGATGTGGACCCAATGCTCAGCACGTTTGCTTTGTCACAGGCTTATTCCTGTGTGGTAGTCTACAGAAGCAAAGGGGACCCTGTGAGGCAGGCAGAAGTGGCCTTGGGGTCAGAGTGTCTCCTGCATTTATAGAGTTCCACAGTCCTGCTGGCTTGCCCAGGCAAGTGGGCAGGACTCAGAGCTGGCCCCTCTGTAAATGCCATTTCTTGCCACTGTCAACCACATCACTAGATGCTTAATTCTAGCCCATTTGATAGAGGAGAAAGTAAGGACAGGGTTCAGTTCTGGGATTTAGAACCATACCTCTCTGATTGAGACTTCTGGGGCTGGGTGTTAGAGAGGGAGAACCCACAGCATGTTCCCCCCATGCTGAGATTCCAGTGGCGCTGTCCCATGCTCCGGCCAGAGCTATTTCCCCAAGCCCCACTCTCGCTCAGCCCTCTCATACCCCACTGAGCATCACATACTTACCGACTGTCTCCTGATTACAACTGGAAGGGGAAGCTGGCTGCCCTTGACATTGCCTCTGACCTCTGTCACCCACCCGTAAAGGGAAGCCCGAGCTGACTCCCTCCCAGCATAGCCCAGCTGCAGCAGAGAGTGTGAGAACCCTCAGAACATGTGCTCTGCTCTCCGTAGCGGCTCAGAGCAGCCCCGCAGCCTCTGCCTGCACACCTCCAACGACGGGGAGCTTGCAACTTTCCAAGGTAGCCAGTGACATATCTGGACAGTTCCTATTGTTACGGTATTCTCATTTGTAAATTTATATATGCTTTAGATATCTTATAGATCCATGATATAAGCTACATACATTTACAAACTATATGTTGTTACATATAAATGTACATGTATTCTATAGTTTATTAAATACACATCACACACAAAGATCCTTTTATAAATTTTCCTTTTAATTTAAACCCCAAATCTTTATTTATATCTTTCATTTTGTTCTGTTGAGATGGGAGTGCGTGTGTGCATGCGTGCGTGCGTGCGTGCGTGTGTGTGTGTGTGTGTGTGTGTGTGTGTGTGTGTGACTACATAGTCCAAGCTGGTCTTGAAGTCACGATCCTCCCGGTTAGCCTCCAGAGTGCTGGGTTACAGGCGTGTGCCCCACACTCCGGGTGGTGCTTACTAAGCTATTTCTACAGTGCTCATCTGTTGCCACCGTTGCCTTCTCTTCTCTTAGCAGTGATGTTCAGAACCTAGTCTCCTCTCTCTCAGCCCAGGAGCTGCTCTTTCCCAGTTTGTGGCTATTGAATTTTGCCAATTTTATAGGCAAGCAGGCAAAGGAGGGTCTCTCTGTTCCACCACAAAAGCTTTATTTCTAGAACTGTCTGCCAGCTTACCCTCTTGCCAAAGGGGCTCTGGCCTAGCTCTTTCTGGAGAAGAGGGACTAAGAACTATTGGGAGGCAAACTGGCCCTTAGGATGCCCGGTGATAAGGAGACCCGGGCAGGGAGGAGGAGCCAGCAGGCTGAGCTGGGAGAGCGGAGCAGGCCTGTACATCCATGCCCTCACTCCTGTCCACAAATCCACGCCACACCAGCTTCTGCTCCCTGAATTCTGCTTTGTGGGTTTTTATTATTTTTTCATGCATTACATCAGTGGTCCCCTTTAGAGTCTGCTGAGACACTTTACAGTGAGGGAAGCTGTCTCTCAGAGGTCAGAGGTCTGTGATCATAGGCAGTAGGAGGTTGGGTAGGTTAGAGCCTGACTCTGAAGTTGAGGCTGTTGCCCTCCGGCCCTTATGTGGCCAGATGAAGAAAGGAACCCGAGGGGAGTTCCTCCAGGGAAGAGAAACTGGAGGGACAAGGACAAACGAATGAGAAGAGAACAGAGAAGTGTGATGCTGAGACGGGAAGGCACTGGGCAGACCCAGCTGGAGCTGCCTGGAAAACGGAGAGACAGAAGGGGTGGGGCTTTACAGGGACGAGGGAAAGGGTGAAACCATGAGCTGGGGCAGGAGGTGAGCGGCAGGGCCAGACCCTGCAGAAGGTCCCACGTGTCTCCCTTCAGCTGTCTCCATTCCTCTGCAGGGGCTTCTGTCCCTTCAAAGGACCCCGACTTTTATACGGGGTAGCCTTCCAGCCAGGTTGTCAGTTGGAAGGACCTGGAAGGAGTTGAAGTTCCAGCTCTGCACAGGGGCCTGTCTGGTTCCAGGCCTTGTGCGGGACCTGTCTTAACAGGCCTTGGATGTCCTGGAGGCTGGCAGCCGCTCAATGGAAACAAAACCCGGAGATCCAGCCACAGAACCGTTTGGAAAGAAGGGGACAGTGGGCGCCCTTTTCAGACTTAACCCAGGTAAAACAGCTGACCCAACACCGCAGCTACCACACCAAAAGCCCTGCTTTCCTCGAAGCCCCTCCGTGAAATCAACACCTTATGTACTATACACCGAAGGGAACCAGCCTAACTGCCAGCAACCAAGGGCCACAGCATGGGAGCTGGTGGCTGTGGTTCCAACTGTCTCTCCACCTGCCTAGCTCTTAGAGTGTCATGGAATATCTGTTCAGAAGGATGACACAGACAAGATGCACCACGGCTGAAGGACCCCAGCCTGCCCTGGGCCCACAGGCTTCCCTTCTCCCCACAGGCGCCATCCTGTGTGGCAGGCTGAGCTCCGCCTCATGGGCCCTACGCTCAGTCCCACTGTGCACTTCAGTGTGCTGGACACCAAGGAGGCTGCAGGACACATTTATTTGGGACTAGGGCTCGGTCTTCGTCACCATACTGAGAACCTCTCCTCCTGCAACCTTCTCCAGTATGGATTTATTTCTTGGGCACAAAAGAGCTATGGGAGACCCAGGGCTTTTCTGCCTCGTAGGGTTTAGGGATAGACAAGCTGGAAGGAAGTGTGGGTGGGAATTCAACCAGAAAGCATTTCTTTGTCCAGGTCTCAGCAGCGCTGTTCCACGGGGAGGATATGTGGTCCAGTGCGTGGTTCCCCCAGCTCTCTTCACTGTGTCCAGTTCTCAGCAGTGCTGTTTCAGCACGGGGAGGATATGCAGTTCAGTGCCTCCCCCCGCCCATCTCGCACACATGCACCACATGCACCCATTCATAGACACGTGATTTAAGCACACCCGTGCACCAGCATGCATAGTGTAAAAGAGAAAATACACATCATTTTTCACAGGCTGTAGGAGGAGCCTGGCAGTACAAGCTTTCTGTTGATCTTGGAACAGGCTGGAGTTAGCAAATTACCCCTCCTTGGAGCAGTCTGGGCATTCCTGGCTTGCGTGCTGGGAAGAAAAGGGTGAAGGATTAGTTTTCTGTCCTCTGCTGGGGCAGTGGGGAGGCAAGTCGTGGCGGTGAGTGAGTGTGTGCATGCGTGTGTCTGTCCCGCAAGCTGGGTGGCTGGGTTTGGCAGGGCCCTACTATGGCTGAAATTCATCTTAGGAGGTCTTTGTTGATGGTTTTCACACTGAGGAATTGTGCTTTGGGGTTGATTTTGTAAACTCCAGTCTCCTTTATGTAGTGATGGCGTTAGCGAGGCAATATGCCAGAGATGGGGACCCTCCATCTCTCCCAGGAGAGAGAACCCAACTCCTCCATCAAAGTCATGCTAGAATACCCCAGCAGGACTGACATCTGTGTCAGCAGCCACCTTCAAGGTAGCAATGACACCGGCCCCATAGAGCTTGTCCCTCTGGACCTGTAGAGCAGCAGCAGAGGATGGGGACTCCACCAGTAGTTGCCTGGGTCGGTGCTCCTGACCCCTTCACTCACCAGCTGTGAAATCTGGGCCAGCTTCTCAGTGCCTTGCATCTGTTTCCCTCTATGTAAGCAAAGATGGTAATGCTGCAGCTGGTCACAAATGAAGGCTGACAGGGCCTTACTGGCCCCTGAATGGGAAGTGTGGGAGGAGTCTGCTCTACGTTGAACCTAAATAACACAACACAACACAACACAACACAGCGCATTCTGTCCTGTGCTAAACCCTCTCTAGGTATTTTTCCTGTAAGATGCTGTGAGGGGACTTCCATATCTTTCCTATAGAGGCCATTTGTGTTAAGGGACTTGGTTAAGGCCATTGACCATGTACTGGATGGGTGTGGGCCAGAACTTGATGACGTCGTGAGCTCCTGGATGGTCACTTCCTGAGGTCACTCACCACCTTTCCCTTGCAGTTTGAAGCAGGGGCGGGGCAGTGGCCTTTTGAAGGTCATTGAGCTTTATGTAAACAGGAAGTGGAGGCGAGGACACTCCCCTATGTGGTAGGGGGCTCCTTGGGGGTGTGCAGCAATCAATTAATAGGCTCACATGCATTTGAAACAGATGGTCTCCAGCAAGGCTCACCCTGTGCAGCATGGCGGCGTGTGTAAGGACGTGGGAGAAAGGGTCTGCTAACTGAATTTGTAAAGCGGTGTGAGAGTAATGTGCTTATGTAAAACCAGTGGACCAAAAATACAGACTAAGAAAACCCAAAGGCCGCACAATTAGTAATAGAGAACAAACATGCTATTTTCCCTCATTTTTTTTCTTGACATTGCCATGGAGGGTTTCCCCTCATTCATCAGAGGCGAGAGCCTGCTGACAGTCTCCAGGAGCTTGGCTGGCAGTCTGGGGTGGGCTAGAGGTGGTGCCAGGGGCCCAGGGACTTCCTAGCTCCATGCCTGGCACTGAGCCTGACTTGTTGGATTTGAACTCTGGATGTTCCGGCTGACTCTAGTCTTTTTAGGGAATTACAGCACTCTGTCCCTCTAGCTATGCCCTAGAGGGTTCTAGAAGGAGCCAGGCACTGTAGCCTTGTGGGTAAGGAGCTCTTGGGAGGGTTAGAACTTTCTGTGGGGAGCCCCCAGTTTTCTCCTGGCCTGCCTTCTATCATCTACGTGGGTGAGTTCTGGGGCAGGCTCTGCTTATCCTGTGGAGGGTGACTGCCTCCCACTCGGCTTTTCTATGTCCTGTTTGTTTTCCCCCTGCCTTGGGAGCTCATGGTTTGTACACCTGTCGGAAGTCCCTACAAACGAATCTTGGGGACACTGGCTCATAGAGTAAGAGAGCCACAGCTCAGAAGACAGCCATCCTACTTGCACCAAAAGTCCTGAACTTGGAATTGCCAGCGCACAGTCCCTGCAAGGTAGCTCTGCCACCTTCTCCTGACGACAGCTATCTGGAAGCACGGGATGGACTGACTGTCCAGGAGGATACAGAACACTAAATTAGCTATAGAGGCCTAGGGGATGCCTGGTCTCTTCCTGAATGTGGCCCTAAGAGTGAGTAGCAGCCTTCTCTGAGCCAAGGTGTCTTGTTCTCTGCCCAGGGCATTGAAGTGCAGAAGTCAAGGAGAGTATTGATGTGGGGTGACCTGTGAATGTTTGCTGTACTCCTGCTGTGCGCATGACACTGTGCTGAGTCACGGTGGTTTGAAGTAAGACAACCGGTCACTCAACAAACCAACCAACGAAATGATTAACCAACGTAAAAATCAACCAACCAGTTAACCAATAGAATGACCAACTTATCAACTAAACAACCAGACTATTGAATAGGTTACTAATTATCCTACCAGTGAATAAACTGACCAATGAACAAACCAACCATTCAAAGAACCAATTAATCAACACAATAACCAACTATCAACAAACAAAACCGCCTAATTAACCCACCAGCTTACTAACTAATCAACCAACCAACTTACCCACCAACCTGTCAATTAACAAACCGACAAATTAACCGATTTACCAATAACCAATCAACCAGCTAACTAGTTCAGCCATCTGTTAACTAGTTGAGAGGCTGGTTGACTGACTTGTCAGTCAGCAGAATAGGAAGCATTGGTTTGCTGAGGAGAGAGATGAAGAAGCCCCACGGCACAGGTGAGATGCCCTCTAGACAGGCGTAGAGAGGAAAGATGGAGGAACCCACAGACCGTGGTGAGATGGCCCTCTGGAGAGGGGTAGAGGGAGAAAGTCAAGAAGTATGGGGTGAGTTGAGCTAGCATGAGCTAGCCCATACTCGTCCTTCCCGGCAAGTGCATTTTAAAAGGACGGAGACAGGATGAAGGGTGTGCCTGTAATTTCCTCGTGAATCCAACCAGCTCTGTGTGTCAGGTGGCATGCCATGAACCAAGTGAAGGTGAGGCTGTGGTGACCTGAGTGGCCTTGGAGAGTCTGACCCTTTCTGAGCCAGGATCTCCCATCAGTAGAGTGAGGTGGCTCCCACCTTGGTGCCAGGGTGGCTGCTTCCTCTCTCCTCTGAAAACTCAGGTCTTCAGAGAAACTCAAGTCACCCAGCCCTGGCCTTTGTGTTATTCCCGCTTTAGTGGGAAAAAATGAACCGAGGCCCTAGAACAACAGTTGCGTTTGTGAAGCCGGGCGTTGGTGTCAGGTGCCTTTAATTCCAGCACTCAGGAGGCAGAGGCAGGGCCTGGTCTACAGAGTGAGTTCCAGGGCAGCCTCCAAAGTTATGTGGAGACACCCTGTCTCAAAAAAACAAAACAAAACAAAACAAAAACCAAAAAAAACAAAAGTTGCATTTGTGCCATTGTAGGAGGAAAACAGAACTCCGCCATTAGCCATGTGACTTATTAGAGGCGCATACAGATGAGGTAATAAAAGGGCGGTTTACTGCTAACCACACCCACTTTAGGCATGACTAAAGACGTATTACGGGATGTAGGCGGTCAACTACGTCACTAGCCAGGCCCACTTTTGGGCAGGGCTAGGGCCTTATGAGGAAGGAATAAAAGACTGAACAGCGGAAGTCTCTCTCTCTTTTCCAGCTTCCAGTTCGGCAGTGGAAAACTACTCGGCTCATCTGGGTTACTTGTTTGTCTCTTGTGAGTAATTTCTACAATAAATACTTTTACTTTCAGTAAGTGTGCCGTTTATCGTTGCAGCATCATGCCATCTTTAAAAATTTCCTTTTAGCAAGGGTACTTGCTTAGTGTTTATTGAGAAAACACTAATTCTGTCTGCTGTGGCATGAATGTGGTTTGTCTCCATCAAAATTCCTGTTGAAGTCTGGCCACCAGGTGTGGGACCTAATGCCTGTAACCCCAGCATTTGGGAAGCAGAGGCAGGAGGATTATGAATCCCAGGCTATCCAGGGCTGCACAGACCCATCTTAAAAAGAGGAGAAACTTGGTTGTTAATGTTGTCGTGTTGGGAGATGGGAGAATTAAAGGAACCAATGTGTTTATCTTGGGACTAGATTACTTGAGTTTGGGCACAGATAGTCAATATTGGTTGTTAACATGATAAGATCTAGCGTCACCATGGATACGAACCTTTGGTTAAATCTGAGAGGGAGCTTTTAGACTGGATTTTTTTTTTTTTTTTTTTTTTGGTTTTTACGAGACAGGGTTTCTCTGTATTGTTTTGGAGGCTGTCGGTCCAGCCTGGCCTCGAACTCACAGCGATCCTCCTGCCTCTGCCTCCCGAGTGCTGGGATTAAAGGCATGTGCACCACCACCGCCCGGTGCCTTAGACTGGATTAATGGGGACAGGAAGACCCACCTTAACTGCACACAGCAACAGTCCCTGGGCTGGGGTCCCAGACTGTGTAGAAGGGAGGAGGCACAGGGACTCACCTCTCTCAGCTTCCTGAGTGCAGACGCCATGTGACCAGCTTATTCACGCCCCCAGTGCCTTCCCTACCACAGTGGACGGCGTTTCCTCAGACTGAGAGCCACAGCGAACCCTTCCATCCTGAAGCTGCTTTTGGTGGGGTCCTTTGTCACCGCGTGAAGGAGAGCAGCGAGGAGAGCGACTCGTCAGTGGGTGCCTCTCGCCGTCCGCGGTGCTCTTCTGCAGGTAGCTGCTCCTGCTTCTACTTCCTGTGGAGCCGGGGCTGCACGAGGTCCTCACCTGGAGCTGAGCACGTGATGAGCCACACCCTCCGCCCTCCCCCCAAAGCCGCAGCCAAACCCGACTTCCTTTCTGCATTGTCCTCTCTCAGGCATTTCTTTCTAGCTACAGAACACAGACTGGGATACTGTTCTTGGCATCCTTGCTGGCCTCAGCGCCCTAGGTATCCTAGGTGGGTTCTGTTCATGTGCAGAGTAGAGGGTGGGCACTGGAACTGTCCAAGGCTGTGACTGAGCCGTATTTACAGCCAAGGGCCAGAGTTACACATGAAAAGTCTGTGTTTTCACCCCACTTTAATAGTACCTACCCTTCTGTGGGGACTTGCTCAGTAATATTGGCTGGGTGCCCAAGTACTATATGGGACTCCTCTAGACTTGGGCTCTGGCAAATTTGATTTTTTTTTTTTTACTGAAAATTACCCATTTTCTAACATTTAAAATGTTATCGAGCCATGTGGCCATTGCTGTCTCGGGCAGAAAACATCTTGGATGAATTTGCATTTTTAATTCTTGGCATTTTTATTTTGCTTCGGTTCCCAAAGAACATTTTTTTCCTTCTGGGGGGGGGACTAAAGAAAGAAGGCGGCCTGTAGCAGGGCAGGAGTGCCAAGCAAACATAATCGTGTAGTAATGTGTGTCCCTCACCGCTAATTACACCACATCTTACCATGCACTCCTGAAATGGAGCCTGCCCGCCACTCTCCAAACCCGTTCTCCTGTAGCCACTTAATGCAGTGACACGTGGCTCCTTGATGGGGGGGTGGCTTCTCCCCGGGGTGGCTGCCAGGGCACTGATTCTGGCTAGTGCATGGGGCAGCAGGTTGGGCCTGGTCCTATATGACAGATCACAGGTCCTATATGTCTTGAGCTCTCTGGTAACCTGTCTCACTGCCGGGCACTGGGGCTCTTGACATGACTGACAGAATTAGGCCAGATGGTGTTAGAGCCACACAGGGCTTTCAGAACACTGGGCCGTGTCCTAGATGGGGAAACTGAGGCTGAGAGAAGGAAATGAGAATGGGATTCCCTTTAGTGTCCAACGATAAAAAACTACCTATGAAAGCCAAGCGGCCGAGAAGTTGGACATGGGTCTGTCTCAATCTTGAGTTTGGGCCGAACAAGAACAGGGTATGTGCTCTGTGAGGGCCACTATGAGCTCAGGCCACCTGGCCATTTTCCTTCATTTCACGGTTCAGGGAGCGGAGGCTCACATCTGTGTCTGCTGGAGATGCAGTCTGAAGCTCACCGTACAGGCTGGAATGTTGGAAGACCCAGGATGGACAACAAATACCCTCTGATCTCTAGACCCCTTGCTAGACACCAGGGGTCCCTGGGTGACTAGGCAGACAGGGGCTCTCCCTATTGGGAATAGCATTTTGGTGAGGGGAGCACAGAGGAAAAAACTAATGCGGCTGATGTTTTCACACTCAACCAATACATACGGAAGAAAATACAGAAGGGTGGGTGAGAGGGAGGGGCCAACCAGGTGGTAATGGACTGAACCCAGCTCCACTGGCATCTGCTATTGCTTGCTGTGCAAACACGAGCAGGTTTCTCAGTCTCTCTGTGCTCCCGTCTCCACATCTATGTAATGGAATAGCAACGGTATATGCTACATAAGGCGGCTGTGCAAATGAAGGCAAGCACACATATGATATTCGTGTGCATGCCATGCTTAGCCAAGAGCCTGACGGAATACCCCTCCGTCCGCGTTGGGTGCTACTGGGCATCTAGTGCCAGCGTACAGATCACACAGTGCTTCAACTCCCCTCTCCCTTCAGCGACTCCCTGGGACCAGTCAGACTGCTTTACTGACTGAGGAAGCCACATTTGAATTTGTTAAAAAACAAAAACAAAAAAGAAACAAAATAAAAAACTCAACAAAAGCCCCAAACCAAACAAACACTGTGTGACCGGGCGTTGTTTCCTTCAGCCGGCGCCTCCTTTCACAATATGGTGTGATGGGTCGGGAAAGCTTGGCCACAGATGGCTCGCTTGGTACCAGCTCTGTTTTCCAAACGGCGGGCTCCTGGGCGTAAATGGTACTGTTCCGACACATGCTGCTGCCTGGCTCTCCGGAGGCTCCCACCAGAGCGTACTTCTTGGCCCACAACCCCAGGTCCCGCTCTCTTCCTCCAGATGGTGGCCATCAGAAACTTCCAGAAGGTGGAAAATGGGTGCAGATATTCAGGGTAACCCCTCCTTCTGCCAATGCCCCCCTTTAAGACTTGCTTCTAAACCTGTGGTGTGTTAGCATAACCCCCCGGGGAAGAGTACCTGTGGGGAACCTTGAAATGATGTCACATCTCTAGTCATTGGTGAGGCTGGGACTTGAACCTGGTTCTTCTCGGTGTGGTCCTGAGACTACTGTTTCTTTCAGTAAAGATGTCCCTGCCCAGGAGTAGTCCCGAGTGCCCTGTCAGAGGCGGAAAGGGGCCTTGGAGGGTGGGATGATCATCTCCCCCTGGACGAAACCTCAGATCTGACACTTCCAGTCTGAGGCAGCCCATTGGCTTAGCAGGTTACTCCTTGACCCCGAGTTCCAGGTCTCCTCCCCCCACTTTTCTCTCCCCTCAGGAGTACATAAACCATGGGTCCACGTTATATATATATGTATGTTCTTTCTCTGAACCTGAAGGTCACCTGTCTGACCAGACTGTTGGCCAGCTAGCCTCTCAGAACCGCTTGGCTCCTCCTGCCCCTAGTCCTGGCTTACAGATACATGCTGCCCTGCCTGGCTATGGCTGCCATGCTTGGCTGTGCGTTTCTCTTTACTTATTTTCAACATGAGTGTTAGGGATAGAACTCAGGTCTGCATGTTTGTAGGGAAGGCACTTTATCAACTGAGCCAACTCTCCACTCACCAAAGTCCAATCCTTACTTTATAGGTCAGAGGTCATGTACACAGAGCAAGGGCCAGAGGAACAGTCCATCTATGTGGTGCAGCGCCTGCAAGGAGTTTACAAGAAGAATCCTGCCTCACAGTAAGCTGAATTTTTATTGCCTTGTGCCCTGGCACCTTTGAACAATGCCAGGGGATGGATTTTCCCTTCTGAAATAGTCGTTTGTGGTGCTAACATTTTAGATCATTGGTGTATTTATTAATAAGTCTAATAAGCTAATCTTCAGCTGTAAGTTCACATTCCAAAAAACCAACCCTTCTGTCTACGAAGTGTCAATACAGAACTTGAGCTATTTGGTCCCAGCACTTGTGACGTCAGCGACAGGCACCCATTAGGAGAACAGAATTCCTAACAGCCTGGTTCACTCTAGACCCTTGCTGAACTGGGGCATCCTGTGTCTTAACAGTAGATATGAAATGTGACAACAGCCAGTACCTGCACCTATGACCTAGGACAGAGGACACAGGAGTCCAAGGGCCGTGTGGCTAAAACTTGATGTGTGGACTACTTTCCACTTGGAAATATGGGCCCTGAAGGGCTTGGGTTGCCTCTCAGCTTCCCCGTCCACTGGGCGTGTGAGCAGTTCTGTGAGGTCCTGCCTTCGTTTCTGCAAAGCAGAGATCACAAAATCTCTCCAAATGGGATCCAACGGGCTCACCTGGTTTGGGATGCTTCTGTTGGGGCTGCCCCTGTCCCACTCAGCCATTGACTGTGAACTTCCTTCCTCACTCCTGGCTTCTTCTCTTCCGGAAGCTTCACTTGGTTCTGGTTCCTAAAGAAGGACCCGTTCTTCCGGAAGGCGCCGTCTTTCTTCCCACAGTAACCCAAGGCATGGGTTAATGGCATTCGTGTGTGCTCAGCGGTTGTGGTAGAAAGACGTTGTAGTGTGTCTGTGTTGACAAGTGGAGGGCTCCTGACACAGGTGGAACCCTTGAGATCATACTGGGGAGGGGGGAAAACCCAAGAAAGAATGTGGTCCAGGAAGCCGGAAGCAAAAATACGTCCTGGAACATTTCATTGTGTTGACTCAAGAGCCAAATCCTGCAAGACAGGCACTGATCATCTGGGGGCAGGTCTTGGTGCCCCCAGATGGACTGTGGGCCTTTTGGCTTCCAAAGCAGATGTTATATGGAATCACCCTAGGGACCACAGCTGACTCCCTCTTCCAGCCCATCCCTTCCCAGGTGGACTGTAAGCTCAGCAAACACACCTGGGGCTCTCTCCCAGCTCAGCGATGAAGGTCACAGCTAGGTCTTTGTACTGTGTGCAGAGAAAACCTACATTTGAAGCTTACCGTGTACTCTGGGCTTGGGTGGTGACCTCCACACCTTTTAAATGCTGAGTTCTTGGAAGTATACCTCACCCTTGGTTTTCAGGGGGAACATGGAGATCCTGCAGTGGGACAACTCGTGGATTCTCTTAGGTGCAAAAAGCCAAAGGCATCAGAGGCAGGAAAGGAGGCAGGGCTCTTCTAATGTGCTCTTCTGTTTCTATGACAGAACACTGACAGAAAGCAGCTTGGGAAGGAAAGGGTTCATGTTACCTTATAGCTCACATGCCATCACTAAGGGAGCCAGGGAAGCAGAGACCACAGAGCAGTTGTGCCTACAGGCTTCCTGGATGACTCTGGTGCATACTTACCTACTTTTCTTACATAGCCCAGGGCCAGCAGTGGGCTGGGTCCTCCCACATTGATCATCCATCAAAGACAGTCTCTTAGAGACATGGCTACATGCCAATCTGATCAATCCAGAGACATTCCTCAACTGAGGTTCCCTCTTCCTGAGTGATTCTAAGTTGTGTCCCATTGATAACAGAACTTACAAGAGCAAGGATGGATGGAGCTGAAGGAGGGAATCTGTGTACCAGAAAGCAATGGGGCCTTCTAGGAAAAAGAAGTTCTGGTGTTCCCACAATCCTGTGTTGCTGAGATCAGGTCTTATATTTCTGGAGGGATTGTGGAATTCCTGGGTGGTATTATAAGGCTGTGTTGGCTATTCTTGTTTGTCAACTTGACTACATCTGCAATGAACTAAAACCCAATGGCTGGGCACACCTGTGAGGGATATTTCTTAATGAAATTTTTTGAAGTGGGAAGACCCACTTCTAATAGGGCTCTTTTGAGGTGGGGAGACACATCTTCAATCTGGCCCACACCTTCTGAGGGCAGCCTTTGTAAAGGACATGGAAGAAGGAAGCTTTTCTCCCTTGGCCTGCTTGTTTGCACTGCCACTGGCATCACAGCCTACTTCTTTGGGATTCCAGCACACACCAAAGACCAGTTCTAGCAACTACCCTTGTGGACTGATCACTGTGGATTCTTGGCTTTTCTGTTGGTTGACATCCAGGAGCTCACATGCCATCACTAAGGGAGCCAGGAACTGAAGCAGAGACCATGGAGCAGATGAACCACAGCCTGCAAACCATTGTAATAAATCACACCTATATTCTACAAATTATCCCACTCTAGAGAACCCTGAGTAACACACAAGCCAACCCATAGAAGGTATCTAGAACATTTTCCAGTTTTGGGACTTGAACTCATGTCTTACACAGAGCAAGTGCTTTACGACTGAGCTCCATCCTGAGGCCTAACCTGAGTTCAATGCTCTGCTTGTGCAGTATTTACAATTTTAACCATTGTGAGCAAGGGGCCCATGGTTTCATTTTGTTCTGGCTTCCACAGTTGACATGTCAGTCCTGCTTTAGAATGGGGATGGTGGTGGCACAAGACACTTTGGCTCACAGTCACACACTGGATGCGCTCTGCGGCCTTGATCATGTGGGCCCAGCACCCCAACATCCTTTCCTGCGCACATACTTTTTGAATTCCTTCCCACTGGAAGTCATAAGTGAACCTGGACCTGCCTGTAGAGGAGGCCAGAAAAGGAAGCGCTCACCAAGCAAAAACTAAATAGTGTTTCCATAACTTTTGCTGAGACTGCCTTATCCATAAATGTAAGCCACACAAATGGTATCCCATGTACCATATAGTCTATCAGAGGTCCAGAGAAAAGTAGCATTTGAGTTTTTTAAAAAAGGAGAATAGTTAGGTGTCATGATGCCTGTAATTCTGACTTTCAGGAGGCAAAAACAGGTGAATCCCTGCAAGTTTGAGACCAGTCTTGTCTCTATATTAAGTTCCAGGCTAGCCCAAGTAACAGAACAAGGCCGTGTAACAAATAAACAAACACTGAACTGTATAAATACATAATAGAAAGGTGTTTTAAAATAAGGATTATTTTAATGACAGGTACCTGCATTTGAAGTAAGAAACAATAACAGGCATTGAAATGCGTGCTGGTTAGTTTTTTTTCTTATGAACTTGGCACACATTTTGTATCATCTTGGAAGAAAGAACTTGATTGGGAAAATACTTCTATCTTATCGGCTTCTAGGCAAGTCTGTGGGCATTTTCTTGACTGATGTGATGCCAGCCCTGGGAAGGTGGTCCTGAGCTGTGTAAGAAAGCATCTTGAGCAAACTATGGTGAGCAAGCCGGTAAGCATGGTTCCTCCATGGACTCTGCATCAATTCCTGCCTCCAGGCTCCTGCTTGAGTTCCCTTCCTGTAAGACGAAATAAGCACCTTTCTCCCCAAGTTGCTTTTGGCCTCAGTATAGATCACAGCAATAGAAAAAAAACCTAGGACAAAATAGAAAGAAAGCATAACTGTTTAGTAAAACCTAAGCGTTCAGCCAGACACATGAATTAAAATAGTCTTCCCAACTCTAGGACAAACTCAAAGGCAGAAATTGCTAAAGACCTGACTTCTGAGGCTGGGGCAGGGGTACCACAGGTTCAAGGACAGGCTGCACCACACAATGAAACCTAGCCTCAGTGGGACTGCTGTCTAATGTACACGAGGCTCCGAGTTCAATCCCTAGTATGAAAAAAAATGAGTAAAGACACAGAAAATAGAAAACAGAACTTAAGTCAAAAGGAGGCATTTCAGTATGTGCAATAGACAGTCAAGACAACAGAAATAGCAACTTTGAGTGAAATACAGTGATGTTGAATATGGAATGAAAGCCTCCAATACGAACTTAACAAGATGAAAATTGTTGGAGGAGAAAAGAAAAGACCAAAGAGAATTCAAGCAGCAATGGTTGACGTATACAAAGAAAGACGGATGGCAGCCAGTGAGGTTGTGTGTGGAGTTGTAACAGCTGAGAACTTTCCAGAGCCCATAAAGAGCCACACTCCGTCACCCCTCGTGAAGCTGCAGAGCATGGATGGTAAAGAGAAAGTCAGGAGGGCACCAGAGAATGAAATACACACTGTTTCCCACAAAACAGCTGTCAGACTGCCAGCTGGTTTCTCAAGAACAGCAACATATGCCAGAAGAAACAGAAATACGTCTACGAGGCTGATGGAAAATAACTATGAATATACAATTCCATTCTAATCAAACTATGATTTAAGGGGCAAAATACCATAAAGATATTTTCAGACAATAAGATCACGGGATAGAAACTACACACATATGTTCCCTAATGTAATTATTACATAAAACATTGAAGCAAGCAAAATATTCTAGAAGGAAGGAATGAAATATAAAATTAAAATGTAAAGATAATGGAATGAATCAATGAATACTCTTTAAATCAATAGTAAAAAAACCAAGTTACTATAGAAAACTTGATTTATTAACAAAAGAAATAAGAAGGGAAACTAAGAAATCAAAGGGAAGCATGAAGGGATGCAGCTATACATGTTACTAAGTGCAATAAATGTAAACCGATTAAACTCACAACTAAAAGACAAAGACTTCGATTACATTAAAATCTTACAAGTATATGATGACTTCTGAAAATTGAAATGTAGAGAGGGTATACAAGGTATTTAGCAACCAAAAGGAAAGTAGCATAGTGTCCTTATTGATGGAGATATAGAATTTAATATGAAAGCATTACAAGTAATTTTTTTAATTAGAAAGGTCTATTTTACGTTGATAAAAAGAATAACCCTCAGCTGGGGGGGGTTGATCCCAGATGCCTCAGGAAGAAACAAATGAGCAAAAAGCATCAACATATGGACTGGTTACAATGTGGAGGCCAAGGGCAGGGGAATGCAGTGGCT